TGCACTCCAGTCTGGGCGACAGAGTGAGACTCCAACTCAAAAAAAAAAAACCCCAAAAAAACTTTTAAACGTTTGCCATTAATTATAAGGCTCCACCTACAAAATTACATACATTTATAAATTAATGAACTTTACTATTAAAAACCTTGTAGTTATAAGTAAGGTTCAAATTTTAAAATCTGTCAGTCTGAGGAAATAAGCTCTGCCTCTCTTGCCTTGGACAAATATTTACTCTTACAAAAGTTCAAAGATATAATTTGCTGACATTATGGATCTTCCGCGAGGTAAAAATAGAACACTTCATCTGTCAGTGGCCACTCAAAAAAAAATTTCAATTTAATACATATAAAATTTCACATTTAAATAACAGGAAGAGCATCAATGTAAGACACTACTTCTAAGTGATTTGCTGCTTACAGAATAACATTATTCATAATGTAATAAATTGAGAATCACTGGCAAATTCTAAAACAAACTGTCTGAAGAGTGACCATAATTCCAGTACTGTGCAGCCATCAGGACATTCAAATTGATAGCACAGACACAATGTGGAGCTTGTGGCAGAGAAAATTACACAGATTTAGGTCATTGCACCAGCTTATTATAGCAAGAAGTTGGGTTACCAAATGTCAATTCTGTCCTTAAAACGAAAACAAACTCCTTCAAAAAGAATTTCATCTGAGGCTAGAATAAACTGAAAAACCGATGCATGAATTTAGAACTCTGGTAACTCCGTACATCAAATTCTCAACCGGGCATTTCTTCTTCGGCTCTGGAAGGGTGGATGGTAGTTAGGGGATGCTTAGGCTTTGAGGAAATCCAGGTCATACCCAAATGGCAGGCACAGCTAGGTAACTCCAAGAGTTAGAAAAGTAAGTTCTTTGATCTCTCATCTCTTCCTCTGTGTACCCAGGCTCCTTCTCTATCCCCTGGTGTTCAGTTCTGTGACAGTAAACCCCACAGAACCTCAGAGATTTCAAAAAAAAATCTTTAAAGTGGAAAGAACCTCAGCAGTAATCCAATTCAACGTCCTAGGATTCTACTGCAATAATTTCCTAAGTACACATGGCATCTGGTTTCCATGTTTTAGAGCAGGCTTACTTTCTCTTTGGGAATCTTTGAGAATCTGAGAAGATTTACAGGTCCTGACTAATCTGCCCAAACAGGTAAATGTTGTATATTTTGAATAAAATTTCACAGGGTGTGCAGACCCCTTTGTTAAAATATCTCCTCTTCTGATTACATTGGTTTTCCATTACAGTGGTTTCCTTATTGGAGTTCTGAAATTCCATTTAGTTTTTAAAAAATGAAACATCTAAAGTAAAACAACCAAGCTACAGGCAGAGTTTGAGTTAAGGCAAAGACCTCCTATTCCCCCAGACTAGATGACAGTTTGTATTGACTTTATATATAAATTCTTTGGGACTTTCTGGTTATCTCCTGTAATATAGTTATTGTGAAGAGATATTATTAAAACAGACAAAGCAGCTGGGCACAGTGACGCAAGCCTGTAATCCCAACACTTTGGGAGGCCGAAGCGAGAGGATTACCTAAGCTCAGGGGTTCGAGACCAGCCTGGGCAACTTGGTGAGACCTTGTCTCTACAATAAATCCAAAAATAAGTCGGGCATGGTAGCATGCACCTGTAGTTCTAGCTACTCGGAAGACTGAAGGATCGCCTGAGCCCAGCAGGTCAAGGCTGCGGTGGCTGTGCGTGTGCCACTGCACTTCAGCCTGGGCGACAGAGTAAGACTCCAACTCAAAAACAAAAAACAAAAACAGACAAATCAGGAACAGAAAGACAACCATCAAAGTGAAGGGCAATAATGAAAAAATATTCTTAAAACTCCATATTAAAGAACACATTCTTATAACATTACAAACTCTCCATAAACAAATAAATTAATTTCATGGAAAGACATTCATTTTTACTCTTTCCTCACTTCTGCTTATGGATGATAAAAAATAGAAATAGTCTAACGACTCTTCCCAAAGGCAAGTGCATCTTCCCAGTGTTCAAGTATAATGTCTACTACCAAAATTTCTGGTTGTGTTGTTTTTTTTTCCCCCTAGCAATAAGGAAGAAACTTGTCGTGTTCTATTCCAAAGATCTGGAACTATAGTTCAGTAAAACTATTACAAAGTAACAAGAAATTTTACTTTAGATTTACCACTTTTGATTAGAAAGAAAAAATAGAAGCAATGGAAAATAAGATAATTCATGGGCAGCAAACCAACACAGATGATGGCTTTTGCCCAGCAAGAATGCTGTGGATGACATTCCTTTCTGTTCGAAAGAGTTCTCCTATTCAGGCAGACACATTTTAGCTGTACTGCAGAGAAATACAGCTGGTATCTTAAAGATCATGTGAGAACTGACAAGAGAAAGAGTAGAAGGAAGCATGTCTGGGTAGAAGGAATGGCTTGTGCAAAGCCGCAGAGACAAGAGGGAGTCCCTGATGCCTGGTAAGAAATTAAAGGTGGCCAGTGTGGAACTGCTTATAGGGAAGCTGGAGAGAGAGACAGAGCCAGACCCCCTAGGGTTCCATAAGCCACATTAACCCTTGCCGCCAAGTGATCTCCCAATCATCCCCAGATGTGATCATTTTGGTGGTTAAAAAGCAGTACTAGGCCGGGCTCGGTGGCTCAGCCTGTAATCCCAGCACTTTGGGAGGCTGAGGAGAGTGGATTGCCTGGGCCCGCAGGTTTGAGATCAGCCTGGGCAACTTGGTGAGACCTCGTCTCTACAATACATCAAAAATTAGCCGGGTGTGGTAGCACGCGCCTGTAGTTCCGGTTACTGGGAAGGGAGGTGGAAGGTCGACACTGGGGTGGCCACGAGAGTGCCACTGCACTCCAGCCTGGGCGACAAAGTGAGACTCCAACTCAAAAACAAAAAAAAGAAAGCAGTACTGGTTTTCTGTTGTTCTATTCAATAAAGTAGGTCATCTGAGTTCTAAGAATTTGACTTCCAGTCATCTGAGTTGTAGGAGTTCTTTCCAAGGAAACCAATGAGCTTTTTTTTAAAACTCGGGATGGTTACACACACACACACACACACACGAGAAAAAAAAACCCATAAACATTCTAAGCATTCTGATTTTTTCCAAATTGGTCCTCTTACAGGAAATGTTGCCAACAGTGTTGAAACAGAACATAGGAGCTCAACACAGGAGTGTCAACTGCACTGTAACTTAAATTTCAAAGATGCTTTTCTATTCTCACTAATAGGGTTATGGCACTTCAACTGCTTACAATAAACTGAAACTCAATGAAACAGAAAGAGACTCGCCCTGGTCCTGCTACCCGCACAGACTCAAGATTTTTGACACCTCGAACACACATGTTGCTCATTCAGAAATAATTCTTTTTCACTCAGCATCAACACTTCTGGAAGACCAAGTATTGGACACACGGACACACACACACACACACACACACACACACACACACACACACACCTCAAGGCCACGCGTGGCATCGGAAGCCTCTGTCCAACAAGTGACGCTGTCCCCATGGCCTGGCACCAGGAAAACCGCAAGAGCCAGAGAAAGATAAACAGAAAGCACTTCGTGGTCTACATGCAGGCACTTCGGGCGATAATGCAGGCAGGCAGCATGGAGAGGAGAGGACGGTGGCCACGGAGGACGAGCGGGGGAAGGCTTGAGTGGCTGACTTGGGTCTCCCCCGACGCATTTCCTGGGCCCGCCTAACAGGCTCGGTGGCCCTAGGTCGTCTTGGGGGACCCAGATAGGCGAGACCCGGGAGCGAGGGGCGGCCGGGCGGAGGGGCGGCACAGGAAGGAGGCGGAAGGTGACGCCCCCTTGCCCAGGCTGGGAGGGAAGGAACGGGGGATGTGGACGCGGCCGCTCACCGACCCACCGGGCTGAGCAGACGCCGTTCGGCAGCCTCCCGGCGCGGGCCGGACCCGCTCCCCTGCCCGGGCTCGCCCTCCCCGGCCGCGGACTCACCAGCTGCGAGCCCTTGAGAACGCGCCGGTGCAAAGGGAGCCGGCCCAGGAAGAAGTAGGCAGCCAGGCCGCCCCGGGGCCCTCTGGCGGGGTCCGGGTCCTCCTCCGTGGTGGGGCTGTACACCGCTCCGTTCTCCATCGCCTGGGCCCGGGGAACGCGGCGGACACAGCGGCAGCGGCGGCGTCGGGCACTTCGCGGACTCCAGAAGTCCCCGGGAGCGCAAAAGGGGCCGTCACTTCCTGGGCCTCCTCCCCCGCTTCCGGCCGACTCCGCCCCAGACACCTCCTTCCCCCGCCCCGCCCCGCCCCGGCCCGGCCCCGGCCCGGCCCCGCCCCGGCCCCGCCCCGGCCCGGCCCCGCCCCCACCCTCGCCCCGCCCCTTACGCCCCGCCCCTTACGCCCTAGGCCTGAGCCCGCATCAAATTCTTGTCTGTTAGCCCTTGGGATTCTTCTGGCTTTTGCTCAAGAATTGGGTTCTTTCCATGGGCCTCTGGTTTATTTCTCAGTCAGAGAAATGTTGCATCTTCCAGACATTAATTCATTCCTTCAGTCAGTGATTTTTGAGTACTTACGGTGTGCAACGAGGTGCTGGGGTTATAGACGAGTACCAGGCAAAGACACAAGACATCTGCCGTTTCACTGCTGCCTTCTCGTAGGAGAGACAGGCCAGAACAAGTGACAGATGAATAACAATTTCATAGTGATAGGTGACGTGAAAATAATGGGAAGTGGGCGGTTTCTTTCGTCCATGCCAACTCTGGCAAGTCTCCCTTTCTTTCTCTGATAAACCTTGCTTGAAAACTTAAAAAAGAAAATAATGGGACGTGATAGAGAATTGGATGCTGAGCAGGCTACTACTTAAAGGGTGGTCAGAAAGGCATCTCTGAGGACTGCGGTATTTGAGTTGAAGGAAACTCAAAGTAGGAGAAGATGCCAGGCTTGTAAAGGTGTAGGAAGAGCCTTCATGCAGACGGGACAGCAAGTGCAAATGTCCTGTGGACAAAATGAGCTTGGCTTGATCTGAAATCCAAAGATCAGTGTTGCTAGGATGAGTAAGGGAGAAGGAGAGGAGGTGAATTTGGAGGTGTGAGCAAAGGCAGATCATGGAGAGGCCTTGCAGGCCAAGGGAAGAATGTGGATTTCGTTTTAAGAACAATGAATTATCTAGAAGGAGTTTGAGGATTGCTCCCTCCCGCGTCTCTCAGAATCCCATTTAGTCTCATTTGCCAAAAGCATTTAGTTTATTTATCTCTTTCTTGGTCAACAGTAGTTATAGTCACACATGTTAATTCTGTGTGAACTTAAGGAAATTCATCAAGGAATGTAATTATATTTTAACAACCGAAGTTGATCAAGTAACATGTCAGGCACACATATTTTCTCTATGACAGTATAAAGTAGGTACTCTCATTACTTTCATTTTACAGATGAGAAAACTGAAGCCAAGAGGCTGAGTGTCATATCCAAGGTCAAACAGCCAGGAGCAGCTGGAATGCAGGCCTAGGCAGTCTGACACACAACCTTGCTGTGAACCACTAACACAGCAAACTTCAGCCTCCAACTCATCTCTCTCTTAGGGTCTCAAAACCCATGGAAGGGGGAAGGGGTTACTGTCTCTTCTTCGTGGCCCCAAACCTCCCTTTCTTCTTCCAGTAACAAAACAAAAGCTTCCATTCAAATAAATAGAGACAAGCAGATACAACTCTGCGGGGGGGCTGTTTCCAGCCAGCCAAAACTATCCCTCTGTCTTTGATGAAATGCATTCTAAACATCGTCCCGAGGCCAAGAAACCACCAGTTTTGTCCAATAAAAGGGGCCACTGAGCCGGGCTCGGTGGCTCAGCCTGTAATCCCGCGCTTTGGGAGGCTGAGGTGAATGGACTGCCTGAGCCCGCGGGTTCGAGACCCGCCTGGGCAACTTGACAAGACCTCATCTCTACAATAAATCAAAATGAGTCGGGCGTGGTAGCGCGTGCCTGTAGTTCCAGCTACTCAGAAGGCTGAGGCGGAAGGATCGCCGGAGCCCAGCAGATCAAGGCTGCGGTGGCCGGGAGCCGCCACTGCACTCCAGTCTGGGTGACAAAGTGAGATTCCAACTCCAAAAAAAAAAAGGAGGCCACTGAATTGTCACCAGAAATACAAAGTTTCGCTGCCCTTATTCTTCAAGTCACCATCATCTCAAATTGAACACTACTGATGCCTAACGTTTTCTTTGAAATTTATCCAAGGCCGAGCTTGGTGGCCCAGCCTATAATCCCAGCACTTGGGAGACCAAGGCGAGTGGATTGCCTGAGCCTGTGGGTTCGAGACCAGCCCGGGCAACTTGGCGAGACCCCGTCTCTACAATTAAAAAAAAAAAAATTTTAGCCGGGTGTGGTAGTACACGCCTGTAGTTCCGGCTACTTGGAAGGCTAAGGTGAAAGGATCGCTGGAGCCCAGCAGGTCAAAGCTGAGGTGGCTGTGAGCGTGCCACTGCACTCTAGCCTGGGCAATGGAGTGAGACTCGGACTCAAAAAAAAAGAAAGAAAATTATCCCCCCAAAATAATATGGATTGATAACTAGAGAGATGGACAAAAGAACAGGTTTGTGATAAAGCAACTGTAATAACACTGCAGTAACAGTGGTAGAATCTAGGTGAAGAATATGGGTGTGCATTGCACAATATTTTTCAGCGTTTATATATGTTTGAACATTTTCAAAATAAATTTTTTATTTGAGTTGGAGTTTCACTCTTTCGCCAGACTAGAGTGCAGTGGTACGCTCATGGCCACCATAGCCTGGACCTGCTGGGCTCAGGCAATCCTTCCGCCTCAGCTTTTCAAGTAGTTGGAACTACAGGCATGTGCCACCATGCCCAGCTAAGTTTTTGATGTATTGTAGATCCAAGGTCTCACCAAGTTGCCCAGGCTGGTCTCAAAACCCTGAACTTAGGCAATCCTCTTGCCTCGGCCTCCCAAAGTACTGGGATTACAGACTTGAGCCACCATGCCCGGCCTCAAAATAAAATATTAGAGGATAGTTACTAAGAAACAAGGACACTTTGAGTTGAGAAAATAAACAGACTCTCTCAACTCTCTTGGTTTGTTTGTGGTACACTTGGGCAATTCTTCAGGGATCTCTGCTTCTTTTCACATTTAGAAGAAGATAAGAATTTAGCCTGCGATTTACAAACCCCAGGGTGCATATGAATCATCTGGGGTGGGGCTCAGTGGCTCAGCCTATGGTTCTAGCACTTTGGGAGGCCAAGGTGAGTGGATTGCCTGGGCCCGTGGGTTTGAGACCAGCCCAGGCAGCTTGGCGAGACCTCGTTTCTGCAATAAATCAAAAATTAGCTGGGTGTGGTAGCACGCATCTGTGGTTCCAGCTACTCAGAGGGCTGAGGCGGAAGGATCGCTGGAGCCCAGAAGTTCGACACTGTGGTGGCCATGAGCGTGTGTGCCACTGCACTCCAGCCTGGGTGATGGAGTAAGATTCTGACTCAAAAAAAAAAAAAAAAAGAATCATCTGGGAGGTTAATTAAAAATAAAGACTCTAGCCGGGCTCGGTGGCTCAGCCTGTAATCCCGCGCCTTTGGGAGGCTGAGGTGAGTGGATTGCCTGAGCCTGCGGGTTCGAGACCCACCTGGGCAGCAAGACCTCATCTCTACAATAAATCAAAAATCAGCCGGGCGTGGTAGCGCATGCCTGTAATTCCGGCTACTCAGAAGGCTGAGGTGGAAGGATCGCCAGAGCTCAGTGGGTAGAGGCTGCGATGGCAGGGAGCGGCCACTGCACTCCAGTATGGGCAACAGAGTGAGAGTCCAACTCAAAAAATAAAATAAAATAAAAAAATAAAGACTCTAGCCAGGCTTGGTGGTTCAGCCTGTAATCCCGCGCCTTTGGGAGGCTGAGGTGAGTGAATTGCCTGAGCCTGCAGGTTCGAGACCCATCTGGGCAACTTGGCGAGACCTCATCTCTACCATAAATCAAAAAAATTAGCCGGGCGTGGTAGCATGCGCCTTGTAGTTCCAGCTACTTGGAAGGCTGAGGCGGAAGGATCGCCGGAGTCCAGCAGGTCGAGGCTGCGGTGGCTGGGAGCGGCCACTGCACTCCAATCCGGGCGACAGTGAGACTCCAACTCAAAAATAAATAAATAAATAAAGACTCTGACCAGGTGTGGTGGCTCATGCCTGTAATCCCAGCACTTTGGGAGGCTGAGGCAGGAAGGCAAATTGCTTGAGCCCAGGAGTTCCAGACCAGCCTGGGCAACATAGCAAAACCTCGTCTTTATCAAAAAAAAAAAAAAAAAAATCCAGGCGTGCTAGCGTGTGCCTGTGATCTCAGTTACTTGAGATGCTAAAGTGGAAGGATCGCCTCAGTCCAGGAGGTCGAGGCTGCTGTGAGCCGTGATCATTTGATCATGCCACTGCACTCCAGCTTGGGCGATAGAGTGAGACTTCAACTCAAAAATAATAAAAATAAAAAATAAAGATTCTTGGAGATCCAACTCCAAAGATTCTGAATTTGGGTGGTGTTTGGGAACACACTTTTGTAATAAACTCTTCAGGTGACTCGTAAGAAATGCACCCACATACATGAACACTTTTCATAATGTAATGAAAACGAAAGCCCTTGTGTGGTAGACAAGAGATATGCCCTATCTTCTTTGCCCTGCTTGATTTGAGGGTGCCAGGATTTAGGGACTAATATTCCTTCCAGTTAAATAAACGTACATCCCTCATGTTGTCTTCATAAATCAAAAGACCAAATAAAGATTTTAATGCTTCATATGCAAATGCTTGTATAGGAACCCCTTTTGGTAGGCTCATCCACACAGAACACTGTCACCATCACTAATGAATAAACAACTTGGAAGAGTCAAGTGGTGGGACTTACCATGTTGAGTGAAAAATCTTATTTATGACCGGGCTCGGTGGCTCAGCCTGTAATCCCGCACCTTTGGGAGGCTGAGGTGAGTGGATTGCCTGAGCCCGTGCGTTCGAGACCCGCCTGGGCAGCGAGACCTCATCAGCTGGGCGTGGTAGCGCATGCCTGTAATTCCGGCTACTCGGAGGGCTGAGGCGGAAGGATCGCTGGAGCCCAGCAGGTCGAGGCTGCGGTGGCCGGGAGCGGCCACTGCACTCCAGTCTAGGTGACAGAGTGAGACTCCAACTCAAAAAAAACAAAAACAAAAACAAAAACATTCAGCTAAATAAATGCTTGAGTGGTCTT